GCTCGTTTTAAGCAAACAGTCGCACACTTCGTGCTCTTCGACTTCCCAGAACTCCATTCCCGGGCCACATTTTGGATGCCCGGAGCCAACTGTAGGCCACTTCGTGCTCTTCGACTTCCCAGAACTCCACTCCCGGGCCACATTTTGGATGCCCGGAGCCAACTGTAGGCCACTTCGTGCTCTTGGACTTCCAAGAACACCATTCCCGGGCCACATTTTGAATGCCCGGAGCCCACTGTAAGCCACTTCGTGCTCTTCCACTTCCCACAACACAACTCCCGGGCCACATTTTGAAAGCCCGGAGCCTATTGTACGCCACTTCGTGCTCTTCCACTTCCCAGACTTCCAAAACTCATCATCTTCATCATCATCGTCCCCGTAGCCTTCTTGGTTACAGCCCTGCTTTCGAAGATTTCCTCTCAAAGGAACTGCGCAGCGCCTACTGCACACCTTATAATGCCAGGACATGCTGATAGTTCTCGGTCTGGCGGCGGTGCTCCTGACCCTGCTGCATTGAACAGCGGTGTTCCTCAGCCTGCGGCAGGGAACAGCGCTGCTCTTCAGCGTGCTGCATTGAGCGGTCCTCTGCAAACGCTCGTCGAGCACGTGAAGCAGTTCGGCCGGATACCGAAGCGAGATAAAGGAACGTCCGAACAAGAACGGGCCGAAAACAAGTTGGCCAAACGTTTCTCGGACCATCGCGACCGCATCCCCAAAGACATTTTGCATGAACTGCGGGCCCTGGGCTGTGCTGATCAGCAGACGGAGACCGAGGAGCTCAAGCGGAAGCAGAAGACCGAGGAGCTCATGCAGCAAAAGCGAAACAAGACCGAGGAGCTCATGCAGCAAGTGCGAGACCTCGGCCGCCACCCGAAGGAGTACGCCGGGCGCAGCCTCGCAGAGCGGCAGCTGGCAGAGAAAGTCCGGAAAGCACGGAAGGCCAACCAGTTCTCCCCGGAGCAGGACGCCGAGCTCCAGGCCTTCAAGCAAGCGGATAGCGAAGCCACAACAAAGACTCGCATCGCGGAGGCGGGGGGCCTTCCAAACCCCATGGAAGGGTTCGCTGAGGAGGCGCAGAACAGGATCGAATGGAAACGAGACTCTGCTACAACAGCACTCTTACATGAATACAACAGGCAATGTTTCCAGCTATGCTTCTACACATCGTTGTTAGGTTGCTTTGCCGGGATAATTTCATCCCCCTCCCCCCCCCCCCCCTTCCTCCTCCTCCTTCTCCAGAACGCGTTCCCGCTCGCGGAGAAGGAGAGGTGGAGGAGGATGAAGAGAAGGAGAAGTGGAGGATGGCCTTCGATGCAACCGGAAACCTGCTGCTCACTGCGCCAGGATGCTAAAGCAACTGGTCCAAGTTTGACGCCTGGGTCTACGAAGGCAGCATCGGTCAGCACCAGGCCGCCCAGCCTCGACTGACTTGTCTGGCGTATTTCGGTCCGCGTCTTGCGCTCATGGTTGCCCATGATATTCTGCAGCGCTTTGAGGAAAATCGTCGACGTCGTCGTCGCCGTCGCCATCCAACGAAGGCGGCCCCGGCGCGGGCAGGCGCGATTTGATCCTGTCACTTTGCTGACTAAATAAGGGCCTCGAAACGCAACGACCATCCCGCTAAGGTCTGAGCAACGGAAAAAAGGAGGGCCTAAGCAACCACAACGAACGAACGAACGAACTCCGCCATCGCCGGCAGGCCCAGCGACCCTGCAAGGGAGGCAGGCGCGCCTGTAGCACACAGGCTCTCTACGAAGGCCGCTGGAAGCGGAATTGGAAAATGGAAGCCTCACCCAGCGCCGCGCGCGCTCTATAAAATGTTGCTCGTTCTGCTGCCAAAGTGACTGATTCGATGCTGCGACCGCCCAAGAATCCCAACCGGCATGTTTTGCGTACGATACGAACTCATCTTCCCATTTGCTGAACCGCCCCGGCCGGGAGCGAATTGGGCATCCGACTGTCCCCCTCGATTGCTCCTCCCACCACCTGTGGCCCCTCCATTGGGCAATTCGCTTGGCCCACCGGTTTGCTGGAAGACATATGACCCCCCCCCACCCCATCTCCACTCTGCTTTCAAATAAAATACAACCCAGCATAACACTCCCGCCCGTCGTGCTTTGTCTTCCGCGACAAGCGTCGCTCTCCGAACCCATGACAAATACTCTGCGTCCAGACTCCTGGCAGGCCCAACCATCCGTCTGAGCACGCACCGCTGCGAGCTTGTCACTTTGCGTTTCTGTCCGACTGTGAAAATCCAAGCTTCGCTGCACCAGAGAACCGCATTGGACACGGTCGCGTCGAAGAGCTGCAACCTTTTTGACTCGGAGCTGTTTTTTCATTGAAACTTCTGACAGGCTAGAAAGTTTTGCCCATCCAGACCGCAGTCTCGAATCGAAATATGTAGAAATACTTCCATCCATTGTGATTGTAGTACCTAATGTTTTCAAACCGACGCTACAGCTTATTAATTGGTACTCACACCCTGCTAATTTGATGTTCTTGATTGGTGGCCAAATTTTCCATTGCATCAAATACTGAATTTCCCAACGTTCAAATGCAGACCAATTTCAAGCTCGCCCCGGATTGGCGCCAACATGTTCGCCAATGCCTGCCTTGATTCAGCCGCCAACGTAGTGCCATCTGCAAACATAGCGTAAGACATTCGGTTCTTCTCGCCAGAGCCGCTGCCGACGATGTTTCCGTACTCTGTGCGTCCCCCTTTGTCTCCTTCAGCTGCGCCATTGTTTTCCTGACTGCGTTTGAAACTATGTTGGCGACATTGATTGTCCTTGCCGGACGCCACGGAGAATATCGAAATATGTGTTTCGCATGCTTGTGTCTAGCTGGATGCATGCCCGCTGGTCGCGATACAAGTCCTCTATTGCCCATAGAATGTGCCCGCCGACGCCAGCTTCACGCAGACCTGACCACACAGCTGCATGTGCGATTTTGTCAAACGCAGCCCCCCCCCCCCACGCACACACACACACACACACACACACACTCCATACTTTTCTGGCTAACCATGCGCATACAATGTACTAGGCCACAGCACCCATATCCCTTGCGAAACCCAATTTCCCCGCGTGTTCTGGGACTGCCCTAGATACGCCCCATCCGTCTCAAGAGTACGCTGCTGTGAACTGTACTCAACACTGGGATGATTGCGATCTGCCTGCCATTTTTTGGGGGGGGCGTCTTCGCCATTCCTGAACAAAACAACAATTTTTGAAGTACTCCACGATTATGGAGCCCGAAACACGCCTGTGCAAGAAACCACAGCATCTTTGAGTTCATGTGCTGATACATGTGCGCTTGGTCTGGCTCCCTGCGGCTCCTCCAGCGGAGCAGTATAAGGATTATTTAAGCGAAAACCTATGCTATGTCATCCCTGTTTGACTGTATCTGGCCCCTGGCATCTCGAATGCTAGCGATGCGACATTTTTTCCGGCCGACGTTGAGGCCGAAGCAACTGTTTGACCGCACCTTCGATGATCAGCTTGTCCAGCTGCTCGTTGCGTTTCTTTCGCATCTGACTCCTGATGGCCTTGTTCCAGCTGGGCGCCTTCTCTTTCCTCTCATCTTTGGTGGCAACATCGTTTCTCTCTTCCCGGAATTGCTTAATGGTCTGATCCATCTCCTCGTTCTTCCCCCGCCTTCCCGGTACTGCGCCGCATTCAGAAGCAGCTTGCCAAAGCGCTTCCGTCACTACTATGTGTTGGGCTCTCGAGCAGAACCTTCGATTGAGCAAGATTGTGCGTCTCCTTGCTAGTCGTCATCTTCCACCCTATTCCCGTGTTTGCCGGCTTCCATCGTTGTTTCTTTTTCCGTCGACTCCCAAACTTTGCAAATGTGGCCCTGTGGTCTGTCTTCTGCAGCGAATCTGGAATCACATCCGTATTCTGCAATTATGCCTTGAAGCGCCGATCTATCAACGTGTAGTCAATATGTCTCATTTACCGTGTGCTCCATAATTTGTGCGTCCATCTGTCCGCCAACCTCTTTGGAAGCATTGTGTTTGTGATCGTGAATGTGTGTGGATGTTCACGCTAAGAACTGATCCCCTCTGCTTGTCCTCTCGCCCAGGCCGAATTTGCCAACGCAGTTGTGGTCATCTTCGTCGTTATGTTGGCCAACCTCCGCATTGGCATCCACGCCAATGATGTATTGCCTGCGCGTCCTGTTTGCGGGAAGCGCCTGCTGGATATGTTCCACCGTTAGCTCGAACTCAATGTCTGAGCGACATGCGCGTGGCAAGTGAGCTGAAACTGTTTTCCAATGTCCTTTCTTTCAATCCAGGTCTGCGTATGGAACTCTCCCGCCTCCCACAACAAAGAAGCCAGCAAAATGTGCAACCCATCTTCTGTGAATAAGAATGCCTACGCTTTTATCCCTCTCCCTCTTGGCTCCCACGCACCACAAATGTTCCACCAAGTCAGATGTCTAAAACAACGGCTGGGGATCAGAAGTTGAACCATGCCTGCAGACGGGAGAAACCCATTTGGGATCCGATACCCCAGTGTCAACACAGCCAGGTGAACCCCATCAAAGGGGTCCGATATCCCAGCGTCAACTGGATCCGTAGGGGTAGAGTTCGCCAGTGGTCGCAGCGAGGGAGGAGGAAGACCGTCGACGTCGCCGCCGCTGCCGCCACGGGCGAAGGTGGCGGCACGTTCGGAGAAGGACGAGCTGAGCCGCTGGAAACCCCGACTCGACTCGAATTCGGTGCCCCTCCTGGGGTCCTGACCCACCAGTTTTCCACGCTGCGTCCAGCCGTGGCGAAGGCCAACTTGCAGTGGCTCAAACGGCCCTCCTCTGAGACGTTGGCGAAGGCAGCGGCGACGTGGGCGTCGTCGGCGTCGTTGCGGTCATCCTCGTTATCGTCGTCGTCGTCGTCGTCGTCGTCACTGTCGTCGTTGTCATCGGCGTCGGTGTCGGTGTCGGCGTCGTCGTCGTCGTGGTCGGCGGCGGCAGCGTGGGCGAAGGCGCACGCGGCGCGCCTCGTCCGAAAGGGCGCGATTGGCACACCGCGCGCGCGCGGCCCTCAGCTCGTCCATCACCACCTCGTGCAGCTTCGCCTGCCGCCCGCGGGGCCGCCGTCGTCGGCGTCGCGGGCGTCGTCGGCGTCGTCGGCGTCGTCGGCGTCGGCGGCGTCGGCGTCGCTGGCGTCGTCGGCGTCGTCTGCGTCGTCGGCGTCGTCCCAGAGTTCCGACGATCTGCCCTGTGCAGTCCCAGCGGTGTTCCTCGAGTCCGCCCCCTTATCGAGAGGACGTAAAGGTGGGGTGGGGGCAGAGGTGGGTCTGGGGAGGCCGCTCCAAATGGCCCCTGGAAAAAGGGACTGCGAGCATTCAGCTGGGGGCCGCGGATTGACAAAACTCCTTTGCGAATGTCAGAGGTCGTGGTCGCAGCCCGTGGCGGGTGGTCGTCGGCGTCGTCGTCGGCGTCGATGTCATGTTCGTCGTCGGCGTTTTCTGCGTCGGCGTCGGGTGCGGGAAGAGGACGAGGGAAGGGGAAGAGGCGGGATATAGAGAGGAGGATGCGAAGAGGTTTTTCGAGAGAGGAGGGGGGCGGCGCGCACAAGGGGGCAGGGGGAGGGGAGGGGAGAAGGCCTCTTGGAAGGAAGGCTGCTCCTTAAAAAGGGCGCCAGCCCTGCATCTACAGACAAGGCCTGCGCCTTCTGAGAAGCAGGGGTGTTTCTAGGAAGCCCTCCCCCCTACCCCTACCCCCCCCCCCCCAGCGCGTAGCTGAAGAAGGCCCGTGCGAAGACCTGGGCGGGTGCGAGGGAAGCTGGGGAGGCAAGCCCCGCCGCAGAGAACCGGAGCCTGCGCGCTGGAATACGATGGGTGGCCACACGAATCCTCAGGAATCCATCGGGAATCCTCAAGGATGCTCGGAGCTCCTCGGGGATCCCTCGGGAAATGACGCGCGCGATCTTCAGCGGCGCGCCCAGGGGAGGAAGTGAGAGGGGGCCCGCCGTCTGAGGAGTTTCCTGAGTCCTCCCCGAAGACAGCGGACAGCCCCTCGAAGGAGAGAGGATTTCAGAAAAGCCCCACCGCTTTCTGGGCAGGCCTTTTCCTCCTCGTTTCCCCCCTCGCTTGACGCCGATCCTCCTCCTCCTCCTCCTCCTCCTCCTCCTCCTCCTCCTCCTCCTCCTCCTCCTCCTCCTCCTCCTCCTCCTCCTCCTCCTCCTCCTCCTCCTCCTCCTCCCTCCACCTCCTCCTCCTCCTCCTCCTTTTCCTCCTCCGCCTCCTCCTCCTGCTCGACGCCGATCATCAAAGGCTGGCTGACGGGGTGACGGAGGCGAGCACGAACAGCGCCGCCCGCCGCCCTCAGCGCCCGCGCACCGGGAGCCTGCCGAGCGAAGGAAGAGGAGGCGGCGAGAGCCCCAGGCCAGCCAGAAGAGAACGGCCCGCAGCTCGGAGCTCGAGGAGGAGGAGGAGGAGGAGGAGGAGGAGGAGGAAAAGGAGGAAGGAGGAGGAGAGAGGAGGAGGAGGAGGAGGAGGGGGAGGAGGGGGAGGGAGGGGGAGGGGGGGGGAGGAGGGAGGAGGAGGAGGAGGGAGGAGGAGGAGGAGGAGGAGGAGGAGGCGCCACCGCTGATCGGAAGCGCGTCCGCGACCGAGAGCTTGAAAGGGGACAGGGAACAGTGGGGCACGCCGCGCTACGCTGGCCGCGCCCGCGTGCGGCATAAATCTACACACGCATTATAATGCAAGGAGAGGGGGCCAATCATGTATTCCACGACGCGCCCCCCCCCCACCACCACACACGAGAGGTCAGATCGGGTCGAGAGCCTTCCCTGACTTCGGATGGAGCCCACGAGCCGCGTATTTAATTTTAGTGGCTTGTGAGCTACGGGTCGACGGGTGGTCTGAGCGCCCCTGACACCTGTTGCCCAGACCCCGCGAGGAGGAGGAGGAGGAGAAGGAGGAGGAGGAGGAGGAGGAGGAGGAGGAGGAGGAGGAGGAGTTTCCCCTCTGCCGCAGGCAGTCTGTCTCTCCCGCCCCGTCGCGGCTCCCCGCCGCGCGACGCGCGCCGCGCGCGGGCCTACCGCTCTGGGGGCCGCGCCCCTGGGGGCCGCCCACCACTCCACGCGCGTCGTGCGGAGGCGCGTGGAGCGAGGTGGCCGAGCGCGTCCTCCGTGGCGTCCGCGCTCCACCCCCGAGATCCTCAGCACCCCGCGAGGCGCCCTCGGGGAGGCAACCCCGAGCGCCCCTCGCGACATGCCTTCCAAGGAGGGTGGCAGCACCTGGCCCGCCCAGTCCAGCGCAGCCGTACGAGTTGCGGTGGTGCTGGTCTGCGTGGTGCTGCTGGGTGGGCTGCTGGTCGCCGTCGTGCTGTGCTTCGGCGATCCGCGCGTCGCTGGGCGAGAGCAGGTCGGCGTCCGTGACCAGCCGCTGCACGAAGATGTACTTCGGCGCTTCTGCTTGCCCTCGTTCTGGATGGCTACGATCTCGGCGACGGCGCTGTCGACCGCGCCCGCGCTCTGCTGCAACTTCTCGCGGGCCTTGGCTGCTTTCGCCTCGGCCAGCACCTGCTGCTCGAACGGCCAGTTGTAGGTGCGGGCCTCGGGGTCGAACGCCTTCGCCTCTGCCGATCTCACCGCCTTGGACTTGGGCGGTTTCTTCATCTCGGGGCGTTGAGCACGTCGGCCGCGCCCGTCAACTGCTTCGCGATGTCGCTGCCGTTGGCCAGCTTCAGCGTACCCCTGGACTCTGTCACAGTCCGCCGTGCCGCGGCGAGCTTGGCGACGCCCTGCTCGGTGGTGTGTGTGTGTGTGTGTGCGTGCGTGCGTGCGTGCGTGCGTGCGTGCGTGCGTGCGTGCGTGCGTGCGTGCGTGCGTGCGTGCGTGCGTGCGTGCGTGCGTGCGTGCGTGCGGGCGTGCGTGCGTGCGTGCGTGCGTGCGTGCGTGCGTGCGTGCGTGCGTGCGTGCGTGCGTGCGTGCGTGCGTGCGTGCGTGCGTGCTTGTGTGTTTGTGTGGGTGTGTGCGTGTGTGCGTTTGTGTGTGTG